CCCCAAAACCCCAAAACCCCAAAACCCCATTACATAAGTGAAAGTGAATGTGCAAGAAAGTATAAATGAATAGAGGGAGGGCGAATATCTTAAATAACAATACTAGCATTAGGCATTAGAGTGTTGGTCAGTTACTTTGAATAAAGTTCTCTTTTTGCCAAAAATCTTCATAAATAGGGCTCATTTTCCATCGTTGAAGTTACCGAATTAATTTGGGTTGAAGTTGGGAAGTGTGGATTTTGGATTACTAAGATAGTTTGGAGTCGGAGAATCAAATCCGCTTCTCTAGCCAATCATTCTCTAATAGCTATCTCCATTCATATCCATCAACTTTTCTTGGTGATCTCCTCCATCAAACAAGTCAAAGCTGTTACCGTAAGAACGGCCAATAAATTAGTTGATTTAATTCATACAGGGGGTATTTCCTAAGAAATGTCCATTAGCACCTCCAAGTTATTACTGATAGCTTATACCCATGGTTGTTGGGAGTGCGCTAGCACTAAGATTAGCAAAAGGAGGAAATGGAGTTGAGAATGGTTTATCAAATGGTTGATGCATAGCTGAGGGTTCTAGTTGAATTGTCTCATGTTGCAGACCAAAGAAATCATTGTCTATATTGCATGGGTTTAGATGAGGCATATGAGAATTATCATTGAAATCTAGGAAGTTGAGGCCAACGCTATTCTAAGTTAAGAAATCGAACTCATTCTAGGAGTTTGATCTCTTGAAGATATGCTTATCTTCGTATAGTCTAATATTTAGTGGATCACTGTGCTTTAGATTGGGCGTTAATGGTATCAAGGGCTGCTGTTTCGATTGTGTTTGAGGTTGCATACTTTGAAACTTCGTTAATGATGGAACTATACCTACTGGTTCCAAGAACTAACCCTATTTCTATATGCTATTCTCAACTACTCTTCTCTTATTACCTTTCCTTTCAATTAGATTTTATTGGTGCTGTTCCATGACATTTGATGGCTCAATTTGGTTGATTGCTTCAACTTTCACTTCAATTTCTTAGTTAATAGTATGGCTATAATGATTTTAGGTTGGGATCGCGATAGAAATTGAGGACTATCCTCCATCATCTTCACGGTACCTCTTTTGAAGGATTGAGTGATTTGACTTAGACTATCTCATGTGAATTGTTCTGGTCGGTGAACCACCATCGTTTTTATTATCAGATTTCTGAGATTCCAATTCATATGCCCCCTCTGCAAATTTATTTTATTATGCAAAATTGTTTGTCAGTTTTCTAGGACTTCCACCCGAAACTATGTTTTCTTCTTGATCTGAACCAATCAGACCATGATTCATAACACTCTTCTTTCTTTGGTTTTTTGGCTATTTTGGTATCGAGTTTTCACTATCATTAAGACTCCTACCGCTCTCCTTGCGGACAGCATTTGAACTTGATTTTTTAATGGGCTCCTCATCATCATCATCAAGATCAGAAAAAAGCATGTCCTTTTCTAGGTTGTTGATGTCTAAACTTTCTATAAAGTCCTCGAAAACAATTTATTTCCTCTCGATTTTGACAAAGAACTTTTGTGCATGTGATCGTGCTTAAGTACTTGTTCTTGTTCTCACATGAAGTTGTACTTTCCGCCATTCTTTTCCATAAAGTTTCAATGCTTCCAAAAATCTGAAGTGCTCTTCTTTAGACCAACGGCCTTGCCTTAGATCATTACCTTACTTGGCTCTGCTTTCATTTTCACGCTAACTCTTGCCTATAATGAAGTTTTTGATTTATATTTGTCTTACTTTAGTTGCTCTAAGCAGTCTATTTTCGTCCTCTTTTTCCATTTTATGATTAAATCGATTATCCATAAGCTAATTGAGAGTCATTGTTTTCCCCCAAGTCTTGAGGTACTCTAATTGATAATGATTTGTTATTATTATTTAAGGTATCCTCATTTTTATCTGAAGGTGCTCTTGCAGCTTATAAAGGTGGAGTTGATGTTACTGAGTTTGCAGCTGTTGATTTATCATTAGAATACACATTTCTTAGTGCCCCTATGTTGTTCTTGCGTGCATGAACGTCTGCTAACAATTCACTCTAATCACTCTTTGGTGAATTGCTTTCCAATAAAGAATTAGAGTTGAATTCATGATTTTAAAAAGCTTCATTATTTCCCAGATCATTGATAGGCTGATTACCGTAAATTAGTTCGTTCTAGTTTAATAATTAGTTTGTTGGCTTTACCTAAACGCTCTTGCGATCTCCTAGAAGATCTAGTTCATTCTGCTAAAGTTAGTACTAGTTGTCGTTATCCAATTAATGTTATATTGTTATATCTTCACGATTATTCATCCCTCCAAAAAATTAGTAATTCTATTCCACAGTCTCTGCATGATAACTACTGAAATTGTGCTCCTCTTGCTGATTTCCAGCTTGAGAATAATTATTGCTTTTGTTTTAAATCATTATATAAATGTATATATTTTATCGTAGTAATAATAATACTGTCTCATTCAAGAATGAAGAAATATATATTTGCAATTTATTTTACTTTTTGTGATAGCGAAATAAGCAGTATGGGGTTTTGGGGTTTTGGGGTTTTGGGGTTTTGGGGAAATTAAACCTTTTTGC